TGCATCACTTTGTCCTGGGAACACATGCTATGTGCTCTGAAAGTTACATCATGACTATTTTGTGGTATGAGATGTCAGTATGTAGTATGAGTGATAATATGAGGGATAACAAATATTGACATACTCATACTACATACTCTGGCCACGTGGCTCAGTTCAGTTACATCAGGACTATCTTGTAGTATGAGATGTCTAATGGCATGTTTTCTTCTACAAGGCAATCCATAAAAAATTTCAACAAGCATTTCCATCTACCTGTTATAGACACAGGATGTCCCTCCTCCATTGTTGTGGCTTTGAAAGAAATAAGCAGCCTGCTGTCATTTTGTGTTACCATGCTCAGCAGGCAGCAAGAATGCAGGAAAAAACCTGCTTACAGCCAAGGGTCAGGATTAGGATGTAAACTCCTGGGAGTGCATGTGTGTGTGTGTGTGTGTGTATGTGTGTGTGTTTTATCCTGGTATTTCTCATGGTGACTAATTCCTTTCTTGTACATTTCAAGAGCTCAAAATATTTTTGCTCTTTGCAATGGTCTGAATGTGTTCTCCCAAAATTCATATGTTGAGACTTAATTGCCAATGTGATAGTACTGACCAGTAATGCAATAAATCGATTATATTTTTGTAAGCTTTAAGAGATAATTAAGTTATGAGGGTAGAGCCTTCATGGAAGGAATTAAGGCTGTTACAAATAGGCTTAAGGGAGTGGATTCATTACCTTCTATGGCTTCCTCCACATGAGGACATTTACTCCCTCTGGAGCACGCAGCAACAACGTACCATCTTGGAAGCAGACCACAGTGCAATCAAATTGGAACACAAGATTAAGAAACTCGCTCAAAACCACACACCTACATGGAAATTGAACAATCTGCTCCTGAATGACTTCTGGGTAAATAATGAAACTAAGTTAGAAATCAAGAAGTTCTTTGAAACCAGTGAGAACAAAGAGACAATGTACCAGAATCTCTGGGACGTAGCTAAAGCAGTGTTAAGAGGGAAATTTATAGTACTGAGTGCCCACATCAAAAAGCTAGAAAGATCTCAAATTAACACCATAACATCACAACTAAAAGAACTAGAGAACCAAGAGCAAATAAACCCCACAGCTAGCAGAAGACTAAAAAATAATCAAGATCAGAGCAGAACTGAAGGAGATAGAGACACGAAAAACCCTTAAAAAAAAAAATCAATGAATCCAGGAGCTGGTTTTTTGAAAAAATTAATAGACCACTAGCTAGACTAATAAAGATGAAAAGAGGGAAGAACCAGATAGACACACAAAAAAATGATTAAGGGTATTTCACCAGTCAGCCAACAGAAATACAAACAACCATAAGAGAATGCCATAAACACCTTTATGTAAATAAACTAGAAAATCTAGAAGAAATGGATAAATTCCTGGACACATACACCCTCCCAAGACTGAACCAGGAAGAAGTTGAATCCCTGAACAGACCAATAACAAGTTCTGAAATTGAGGCAGTAATAAATAGTCTACCAACCAAAAAAAGCCCGTGCCAGACAGATTTACAGCTGAATTATACCAGAGGTACAAAGGGGAACTGGTACCATTTCTTCTGAAACTGTTCCAAATAATTGAAAAGGAGGGATTCCTCCCTAACTCATGAGGCCAGCATCATCCTGATACCAAAAGCTGGCAGAGATACAACAAAAAAAGAAAACCTCAGGTCAATATACCCAATGAACATCGATGCAAAAACTCTCAATAAAATACTGGCAAACCGAATCCAGCAGCACATCAAAAAGCTTACCCACCATGATCAAGTTGGCCTCATCACTGGGATGCAAGGCTGGTTCAACATACACAAATCAATAAACACAATTCATCACATAAACAGAACTAAAGACAAAACCACATGATTATTTCAATAGATGCAGAAAAGGCCTTCAATAAAATTCAACATCGCTTCATATTAAAAACTCTCAATAAACTAGGTATTGAAAGAACATACCTCAAAATAATAAGAGCCATTTATGACAAGCTCACAGCCAATATCATACTGAATGGGCAAAAGCAGGAAATATTCCCCTTGAAAACCAGCACAAAACATGAGAGAGAGTGATGAGATGCCCTCTCTCATCACTCCTATTCAACATAGTATTGGAAGTTCTGGCCAGGAAAATCAGACAAGAGAAAGAAATAAAAGGTATTCAAATAGGAAGAGGAATTCAACCTCTCTCTGTTTTGCAGGTATTCAAATAGGAAGAGAGGAATTCAACCTCTCTCTGTTTGCAGGTGACATGATCCTATACCAAGAAAACCTCATCATCTCAGGCCAAAGGCTTCTTAAGCTGATAAGCAAATTCAGGAAACTCTCAGGATACAAAAATCAATGTTCAAAAATCACAGGCATTCCTGTACACCAACAACAGACAAGCAGAGAGCCAAATCATGAATGAACTCCCATTCACAACTGCTACAGAAAGAATAAAATACCTAGGAATACAGCTAACAAGGGAAGTAAAGGACCTCTTCAAGGAGAACTACAAGCCACTGCTTAAGGAAATCAGAGAGGAAACAAAAAAATGGAAAAACATTCCATACTCCTGGATAGGAAGAATCAAAATGGCCATATTGCCCAAAGTAATTTATAGATTCAATGCTATTCCCATTAAACCACCATTTACATTTTTCACAGAATTAGAAAAAACTACTTTAAAATTAACACGGAACCAAAAAAGAGCCCATATAGCCAAGACAATCTTAAGAAAAAAGAATAAAGCTGGAGGCACCACACTAACTGACGTCAAAGTGTACTCCAAGACTACAGTAACCAAAACAGCATGGTACTGGTACAAAAATAGGCACATAGACCAATAGGACAGAATAGAGAACTCAGAAATAAGACCACACTTGTACAACCATCTGATCTTCAAAACACCTGACAAAAACAAGAAATGGGGAAAGAATTCCCTATTTAATAAATGGTGCTGGGAGAACTGGCTAGCCATATGCAGAAAATTGAAACTGGACTCCTTCCTTATACCTTATATAAAAATTAACTCAAGATGGATTAAAGACTTAAATATAAAACCTGAAACCATAGAAACCCTGGAAGAAAATCTTGGCAACACCATTCAGGACATAGGCATGGGCAAAGATTTCATGATGAAAACACCAAAAGCAAAAATTGGCAAATGGGACCTAATTAAACTAAAGAGTTTCTGCACAGCAAAAGAAACTATCATCAGAGTGAACAGATAGTCTCATAATAAAATATCAAAGAAAAACACCTGCTTTTTTTCCTCCAAGATGAGTAAATGGGAGAAAATTTTTGCAATCTATCCATCTGACAAAGGTCTAATATCCAGAATCTACAAGGAACTCAAACAAATTTACACACAAAAAACCCAAAGAACTCCATTAAAAAGTGGGCAAAAGACATGAACAGACACTTCTCAAAAGAAGACATTTACGTGGCCAAGAAACATGAAAAAAAGCTCAACATCAGTGATCATTAAAGAAATGCAAATCACAACAATGAGACACCATCTCAAGCCAGTTAGAATGGTGATTATTAAAAAGTCAAGAAACAACAGATGCTGGCATGGCTGTGGAGAAATAGGAACGCTTTTACACTGTTGGTGGGAAGGTAAATTAGTTCAATCATTGTGGAAGACAGTGTGACAATTCCTCAAAGACCAAGAACCAGAAATACCATTGGACCCAGCAATCCCATTACTGAGTATGTACCCAAAGGAATAGAAATCATTCTATTACAGAGATACATGCATGCATATGTTCACTGCAGCAATATTCATAATAGCAAAGACATGAAATCAACCCAAATGCCCATCAATGATAGATTGGATAAAGAAAATGTGGTATATAAACACCACAGAATACTATGCAGCCATAAAAAGGAACAAGATCATGTTTTTTTGCAGGGACATAGATGGAGCTGGAAGCCATTATCTTCAGCAAACTAACACAGGAACAGAAAACCAAACACCACATGTTCTCACTTTTAAGTGGGAGCTGAACAATGAGAACACATAGATACAGGGAGGGGAACAACACACAGTGGGGCCTGTTGTGGGGTTGGGGGAGGGAGAGCATCAGGAAAAATAGCTAATGCACGCTGGCTGTAATAGTTTGCTGATGGGTTGATAGGTGCAGCAAACCACCATGGCAAATGTTTACCTATGCAACAAACCTGCACATCCTGCACATGTACCCTGGAACTAAAAAAAAAGAAATTTGATGAATCCCAGTATTGGTTAACATTAGTATTGGCCCACACTGAAATTCATATTGACCTCAGAGTGGAAGTTTATCTCTTTTTTTTTTTTTTTTTTTTTTTTTTGAGGGAAGTTTATCTCTTTTTTTTTTTTTTTTTTTTTTTTTTTAGACGGAGTTTATTTTTTTTTTTTTTGAGACGGAATCTCGCTCCCAAGGTGGCCCAGGCTGGAGCGCAGTGGCCGGATCTCAGCTCACTGCAAGCTCCGCCTTCCGGGTTCACGCCATTCTCCTGCCTCAGCCTCCTGAGTAGCTGGGACTACAGGTGCCCACTACAGCGCCCGGCTAGTTTTTTGTATTTTTAGTAGAGACGGGGTTTCACCGTGGTCTCGATCTCCTGACCTTGTGATCCGCCCGCCTCGGCCTCCCAAAGTGCTGGGATTACAGGCATGAGCCACCGCGCCCGGCCGGAGTTTTGCTTTTTTTCGTTGTTGCCCGGGCTGGAGTGCAGTGTCATGATCTCGGCTCACTGCAACCTCCATCTCCTGGGTTCAAGCGATTCTCCTGCCTCAGCCTCCCAAGTCCCACGCCCAGCTAATTTTTGAATTTTTAGTAGAGACGGGGTTTCACCATGTTGGCCAGCCTGGTCTTGAACTCCTGACCTTAGGTGATTTGCCCACCTCAGCCTCCCAAAGTGCTGAGTTACAGGTGTGAGCCATTGCGCCTGGCGGAAGTTTATCTTCTGTGGTTGCTTTGACTTTGGAGGAGGATGGATATTGGAACTTCCCATGGAGAACACTGCTTGCTTGACTTGTTTTTCTTCTCCACGATGTTAGGAGAAAATTCTCTCTGACCAGAAGGCTAACTCTTCAGCCAAAGTGGTGGTTCATCTGCCCTATTTGGCTTTACAGGAGAAAGAATCCCAAGAGGTCAGTTGATCCAGGATGCAGTCCTAGGCTGGGAAGACATTTCTGCCGTTTTACAGGTGAGGTACCTGAGGCCCCAAGAAGGCCAAGCAACTTAGCCAAATCACTAAGAATGATGCTGATGGTGGGTGTAGGGGAAGACAGGGGTTGTAGTAGTGAGGGAATGAGAGTAGATGCTAGAATTCCTGGTTCTCAATTCAAGTCTACCAATCTGTATTGCAGAGCTGTTGTAGATCAGCTTGTTGAGTGGTCCTGATGCTCATCTATAGGAATCGGAGACTAAGGTCCAGGCTGGATGGTGAGGAAGACAAACTTGTTTTGCTACTCTCTCCTGTTTCATAATTGTTCACTACCTCTTGGTTTTCAAAACCTCTTTAATAAAATATGAAAGAAAAACACCTATTTTTTTTCCTCCAAGACTTGAGTAAATGCTCTGCTGTGGTTTCTTCTTTGACTGTGTTCCTTTAGGAATCTTTTTTGTTGTTGTTAACTATATTTACAGTCTCTCCTTCTGTGACAAGTCTTTCTTGCAGTTTACAAACATGTTCAAGTCCCTCCTTATTAAGGAAAAAAACTGTATTCTGCATCCCTCGTTATCCATTTATTCATGTTTAGCTTCTTAAATGAGTCTTCACTTATTTTTTCCACTTCCTCACCACAAATTTACATTGAGCCAGCTGCAGTCTCTGCTTTGATCACTTTAACAGTGCTGTCAAAGATCACTGTGATATCCTAATTATCAGCTGAGTAGATTTCAGTTTTGGTTCTTATTTGACTTCTCTATGTCATTTGGCAGCTTGTCACTCAATTTGGGGTGGATTTTGAATATAACTCATAACATTTAAGGCAAAAATCTAGCTTCTTTTTCAACATTAACCCTCAGTTATTAGCACAGATATTAATTGAACTTAAGTTACTCAACATAAACCTGTTTTAAAAAATAATTAATTGACTTGATTTTTTAGAGTGGAAATTGAGGGGAAGATAAAGAGAGTTCCCATGTACCTCCTTTCTCCCTGCACAGATTTCTCTATTATTAGCATCTTACATTTGTATGGTATATTTCTTATAACTGATCAGTCGATTTTGACACATTTTTGTTAACTAGGTCCGTAGTTTATATACAGATTCACTCTTTGTGTTGTATATTCTCTGGGTTTTAACAAATGCATAATGTCATGTATCCACCATTACAGTATCATACAGATGAGCTTCACTGCTCTAAGAGTCCCCTGTGCTTCACTTCCCTCTCTCCCTCCCTTCCACAATCCCAAACATGGATCATTTTACTCTCTCCTTAGTTTTGCCTTTTCCAGAATGCCGTATAGTTGGAATCATACAGGATGTAGACTTTTCAGATTGGCTTTTTCTCACTTAGCAATATGCATTTAAGGTTTAATGCATATTGAAGTTTCCTCCATGTTTGCCTGTAGCTTGATAGCTCATTTCTTTTTATCTCAGAGTAATATTCCCTTGTAAGTACGCACCACAGTTTGTTTAGCTACTCATCTGCTGAAAGACGTTTTGGCGATTATGAATAAAGCTACTATTAACATTCATGTGCATGTTTTTGTGTAAACATACATTTTCAACTCATTTGGTAATTGTCAGTTAATTTTGAAAGCTTGTCCTTTCTTGACTTGCATGGCATCCTTCTCCCTTTTGTTCTCCTCTTACTTCTTTGAGTATTCCTTCCTGTTTCCCTTTGCTGATGCCTCCTCTTCTGCCAGTTTCTCAATGGTGGTGTTTCCTAGGGTTCTATGGTAGGCCTTTTAATATCTTCAGTATTATACATATTCTTCAGGGATGGTCTCATCCACTCCCAGGGCTTCAGCCATCACCTCACTGTTGTGCCCTAGCTTGTATTTCATTGCAGACCTTTCCCTGAACCCCAGACACATATGTACACTTTGCTTCTTAGATGTCTCCTCTATTGAGATGCGGGAAACACCCAGAAAGAAAGGTCATTCAATTCTGGGGACTGTTTGTCACATGGAAGTAAAAATATTTCTGTTTTTCTGACAAATACATGAGTGGTGAAGCTTTTCTACTTTATTTCTTCTATGTAGAGTTTATCAACCTTTGTATTATTGACATTTTGGGCCAGGCAATTTTTTGTTGTAGGGGCTATTCCATGCATTGGATGTTTGGCAGCATGGCTGGCCTCTACTTGCTACATACAAGCAGAACCTTCTCCCTGCAGCCCTCAGCCCCAGGTTGAGACAACCATAAACCACTTCAGACATTGCCAAATGCCCTCAGGGGGTGGGAGGCAGCTCAAATCACTCCCCAATGAAAACTACTTCTGTAACATAAGATGTTTTCTCCCACTCACTGTCTTTGCTTTCACTTCTTCCTCTTCCTGATTTGCTCTTCCCCAGGGGGAGGATTCTACCCATCCTTTAAGATTGGCTCATTCATCATCTCCTGTAGGAAGTCTTCTCTCATATCTCTCTCCCTTCCTTTCTCTGTAGAATTCCCTCCTCCTTTGTGTCTGATTGTCCTCCTGTGATGTTCCTGTGCCAACTGTTTACATGGTGATGCTCTTCTCTGCATTGCTAGTTGATTGGGGATTGGCATCATGCCTTCATCTTTGAATCCCTGGCACCTTCACAGTTTGTGGCAGTTAATGTGCCCAATTAATGTGGTTGAATAAATGAACCATAATGGCCCCCTCTGGTCAAAATCCTCTATGATAAATTCTCGTAACATTACGTATCGTTCTTTCAAAGCACTTGTTATGGTAACAACTCTCCATTTTTTTGGAGTGTGATTATTAAATCAATGTATTTCCCCTTCACTAGATAGACCATAATAAGCTCTATGAAGCTTTTAGTAATCACTGAATCATGCAGTGCTTGGCACTTAATAGGTGCTTAGGATGTATTTGTAGAATGAATAAATGATCTTGGGCAAGAATGGGCTTGGGAGGTTCAGTTTGGGTTTAATAAAGGCAGCAGCAGCAAAAACTAATATTCACTTAAAGTGTTTTCATAGGTATTATTTCCATTTAATAATTTAAAAACTTCTGCTAAAAAGGTATTATTTCTATCATATAGGTGAAAAAACTGAGAAAGATCAGAGAGGTTAAACATCTTAAAGTCTCATACTCCATGATCACTGTATTACAAATGTGGGCCCTGGGTTATTTCTTGTCCATACAGCCAGACTTGCAGAGATCAGTAAATGCTTTATGGTACATAAAGTGAATAGGAGAATATGTAATTCTTTTGTATTTTTTGTGTATTGGTTTAGAGCACAAACATTTTTACGTCCATATGATAAGAGCTCACTGGAATTGATAATAAGGGCTCACACCCCCTCACTGGCCCTGTAGTAACACAAACATTATCTTCATTTGTATTCCAGGGGCCAGCCACAAATGGTTGAGGTAAGATGTCTTATAGGTCCAACTGATGCTAACCAGTGAGAGAAAAATTTTCGTGTTTTGAAGACTAAAATACTTTCTCTGTATGAAGTTATAATATAAATGGTTGACAACCTGAACAAGATAAGGGAGGCCTAGGTCCATGGTTCTTAAGTTCTTGTGGCACATAGGATCATTTGATGGGACACAGACTAATACAGACCCCTTAATCTAGTCATTTCTTACTGCTAGAAACATGGAGATAACAACTGTCACTCTCACTAATGTGGAAATAGTGGAAAGGATGGATTTGTATGTATGACTGCCTTATGGGTAAATTATAAATATATTCCTGAAATTGAGTAGAGACGTGAGCACCTTGTGAACTTGAATGCTATAGGAGACCAGCAGGAGCTCCTTTGTGGAACACTGGAATTCCCAGGCTGCAGTCAAATGCCACTGACTAATCACCTTAGAGTTTTAATTCAGGAATGATGGGTTGAATCTTGAAAACATATGAATGTAGAAAAGGTGAAAAGGGGATATCAAGTGTATACTAATGACCTTTAGAAGATGCATTAGAAATGGGATTGGATTCTTATGGAGTGGACAATTATTACTACCTAGTAATATGCTTTATTTCACCATGCCAGTTCAATGAAGGCATTCAACAGTTACTTGTGGAATAAAATAGGACCTCCATTCTATCATATGAATGCCTCACTAGAGAAAAGCCTTCCCAGACCAAAAACTAACCTCTATTTCATATATTATCTGCTGAGGTGTATGGAAATGTATCCTGTGATGACACCAAAGGAGTCTATATCCTGTCATTTTATGTCTTACACAAAAACCATGACATCAAAGACATTTGAGATGACATGCGGAATTCCTGTAAAACATTCTTGATGAGGCTGACAAAGACAATTCCTTAATGATGTTTGGCTCATCTTCGACATAAATGGAAAGACTGAAGACAAATATGAACCAAGGAGTGTTTCTAATAATAACAATAATATGAACGTATGAGGTATCAATCTTTGTGTTATTGATCATTGATTGATTTCTTGGTGAGATCTTTATCACAGGATCACCTTGTTGCCAAAAATTGCCAAGTATTGGGAAAATGTATAGCTACTGATAGGAGTATGTGCAGATTTGCTTTTTGTCATTGTGTGTTTATGTTACATGTAGATATTGTCACTTTATTTAGCAAGGCATTCTTTCTTCTTGAGTCAAGAATATAATATAAACTCAAGTGAATTTCTCTTTAGTGAGAAGAGCATTTTATTTTGTCCTTTCTGACCCTTATATTCATACTTTTGACCACCCATAGGCGAATCCAGGAGAACCAGAGAGAACTTCCATAGACTGGAAAACAAGAATGGAATAGTGTATATTTCAGTTTAAAAGATTCATTTCAGGGGAATTATCACTGTGAGGTTGGAAGATATTCTTTCATTCACAAGGCATTTGCAAGATCTATTATGTATGAGATTAGTCACATGTAAATATTTTGTAGATGTAAAGCAAATTTGCTCCCTGCAAAATGGACCCAGTGGTGGGAACCAGTTTGAGGAGACGAGGCTGTATTTCCCTTCTCTAAGCATCACCAACAGAGCTGAGTATTTTGAGTCTAGAAGAGATCCAGTGGGATTTAGTTGTATGAGTTTTGATGTAAAGGTGTTATATTTCATGAGATGAAATCATAACACAGTGGATTGCAAGAATTTTGAGAGATTATTTTTTTCAGAGTGTTGGCAAGCAGCATCCTCTAGAGAATTTTGTGTCTAAAAAAGAAATATATTCTTTCATAGGATTCACATGATAACTAATCATTAATCCCTTCTAGATGGTCAGGGTTTGACTGGAGAGGCTGATTTGGAACATCCAGAGCAGTTCTGACCTCTGTAGTTGGCCTTTATTGAATTCGCGACTTCCACAGCATCCTAAAACTTCAAGGTACGTGGCCAATGCATTTTTTGGGGTCCTCTACTCCTAAGCCACAATTACAGTTCTTTTTATTTATTTATAGATTATACTTCACCTTTAGTCTTCATGCACAGTTTGATTTTCTATGAATTTTGACAATCCAAATGAATATTTGGCCAAGACAAGAAATGTTATCATGCTCTATCTCAGGTTTCTTTCCTCTCCCGTTCTTGTTATGTTTTTAGCTGAGAAGAAGTTCTCTGTCTCTGTTTTAGAGAAAGCTGAGCCATTTCCTTGACTTAAGTTTGACCTTTTTTTGCTTCATTCTGGAACACATATAACTGTCCTTAGGCTAAACATCTCTCTACTTTTGTGACTGTCTCATCTCCAGTTTCCCTGTAATGCAACATACTGGAATAGGTTTCTTATGAATGGCAGGGGAGAAACAAGACACTGTGGGGGAAATCTGGCACTTCTTCTGATTTTGATGTGTATGGAAGGGAGTTTGTGTTCTGTGTAGCTGAGAGTCTTCTTGAAACATGGCTCAGGCAAGAAAGTTTCGAAAGTGCAATTAGTTCAGTATGGGAGTCTAGCAAAACGAGTGTATGCCCCAATGTATGTAGCTCTTTTCCTGGGGAGATTTGTTTCTACCTTATTTCAGAAATAATAGATGAACTCTTAAGACTTTATAAAAGTTCTGCAGCAGCCGACATATCATCAGTAAAGATAAAAAGATGTGTACATCAGCACAGATGTGTTTGTATGAAATCGTGCACATGATAGACCTCATGTGGAGCCTCTAGTGAATTCTCATGGTAATGCTGATGAAATTGGTGTTACGGAGGAAGGGAAAGGGGAGTTATGAGTTATTACCATCAAGCAACAAATGTTACATTCCTTATCTTTCTCAAATGCTGTCTTGCAAATGCATGTCAGAGGAGGCTGTGATTGGAGAGAGTCCAGACATTAGGATGCTGAGAGAGTCAAGCTGAGGGAGATTAAGCAGCTAGGGTATGACCAGCAAGAGGAGCAAGCTTACTTGCAGCTGTAGACTATCACATATCACCTTGTTTTCCAAACTTGCCTGCTTACCTGGGGAGTGTGTTAAAAATGGAGATTCTTGCAGACTTAGCAAATCAAAGTCTCCAGGGGAAGGACTTGGAAAATAGATTTTGTTTTTTTTTTACTTGCTCTGTCTACAAGGTTGATGTGCAATGCCACTGAAATAATGTAGATGACACAGCCTTGAAAAACAGAACTTTTTTTTTTTTAACCACATCCTGGGATTTTATTTATTTATTTATTTTTATTTTTAAAATTATACTTTAACTTCTGGGATACATGTGCAGAATGTGCAGGTTTGTTACATAGGTATACACATGCCATGGTGGTTTGCTGCACCCATCAACCCATCATCTACATTAGGCATTTCTCCTAATGTTATCCCTCCTCTAGCCCCCACCCCTCAACAAGCCCTGGTGTGTGATATTCCCCTCCTTGTGTCCATGTGTTCTCATTGTTTGACTCCCACAGTGAGAATATGAGTGAGAACATGCAGTGTTTGGTTTTCTGTTCCTGTGTTAGTTTGCTGAGACTGATGGTTTCCAGCTTCATCCATGTCCCTGCAAAGGACATGAACTCATCCTTTTTTATGGCTGCATAGTATTCCAATTGCTACAATGAGAATAAAATACCTAGGAATGCAACTTACAAGGGATGTGAAGGACCTCTTCAAGGAGAACTACAAACCACTGCTCAAGGAAATAAGAGAGGACACAAACAAATGGAAAAACATTCCATGGTTCTGGATAGGAAGAATCAATATCGTGAAAATGGCCATACTGCCTAATTTATAGATTCAATGCTATCCCCATCAAGGTACCATTGACTTTCTTCAAAGAATCAGAAAAAACTACTTTAAAATTCATATGGAACCAAAAAAGAGCCTGTGTAGCCAAGAGAATCCTAAGCAAAAAGAACAAAGCTGGAGGCATCATGCTACCTGACTTCAAACTATACTATAAAGCTACAGTAACCAAAACAGCATGGTACTGGGACAAAACAGATATATAGACCAATGGAACAGAACAGAGGCCTCAGAAATAACACCACACATCTACAACCATCTGATCTTTGACAAACCTGAGAAAAACAAGCAATGGAGAAAGGATTCCTTATGTCATAAATGGTGCTGGGAAAGCTGGCTAGCCATATGCAGAAAACTGAAGCTGGAGCCCTTCCTTACACCTTATACAAAAATTAACTCAAGATGGATTAAAGACTTAAATCTAAGACCTAAAACCATAAAAACCCTAGAAGAAAACCTAGGCAACACCATTCAGGACACAGGCATGGGCAAAGACTTCATGACTAAAACCCCAAAAGCAATCATGACAAAAGCCAAAATAGACAAATGGGATCTAATTAAACTAAAGAGCTTCTGCACAGCAAAAGAAACTATCATCTGAGTGAACAGGCAACCTACAGAATGGGATTTTTGCAATCTATCCATCTGACAAAAGGCTAATATCCAGAATCTACAAATAACTTAAACAAATTTACAAGAAAAAAACCCCATCAAAAAGTGGGCAAAGGATACGAACAGATACTTCTCAAAAGAAGACATTTATGTGGCCAAAAAATACATGAAAAAAAGCTCATCATCACTGGTCATTACAGAAATGCAAATCAAAACCACAATGAGATACCATCTCATGCCAGTTAGAATGGTGGTCATTAAAAAGTCAGGAAACAACAGATGCTGGAGAGGATGTGGAGAAATAGGAACACTTTCACACATTTGGTGGGAGTGTAAACTAGTTCAACCATTGTGGAAGACAGTATGGCGATTCCTCAAGGATGTATAACCAGAAATACCATTTGACCCAGCAATCCCATTACTGTGTATATACCCAAAGGATTGTAAATAATTCTACTATAAAGACACATGCACATGTATGTTTATGGCAGCACTATTCACAATAGCAAAGACTTGGAACCAGTCCAAATGCCTATCAATGCTAGACTGGATAAAGAAAATAGAATTTTTAACCAACCGACCGGCTGATTGCTATGATCAGACAAGTCTTGGAACCACTCACTGAGTGTAATCAGATGGGCATTGAAAAAGGGCTGGGTTTTGTGAGTGTGGGTGTCAGGGGTGCTAAATCACATGGTCAAAGGGACATTTCCAACTCTGTGTTTGTTGAAGACCACTGGCTTTATGTTCTTCAATGCCCCGTCTGTAATGCCCTACCCATTATATTTCTTTCAAAGTTGATTCAAGAAAGACCTTTGTCTTTCCCAAGAAGGTGGTCTGTATCATTTATGAGATGAAATGTTGCCACTTCCTGAGCTCCTGTTGCCTCAGTTTCCAGGAAATGCGATGCCAAGTTTTAGACTCTATCACTATTACCATGTCTACTACTATGATTGGCCTGTTAGATTTTCTTTTCCCACCATTTTTACCTTCTTTCAAATCCCTATTTTAATTAATTTTTAAAATTTTTTTGTAAGTGACTTCCAATTTTTTTTCCCTAAAAAGTGGCAGAGTATAAATGTATTAAATTGAACCCATAATTAATAGTTGCTAATGGAAAGAAAATAAGAGGGTGATTAAATGATGACAAATTTAAATAACTTTCATTTCTGAATGCAGTTGTACCTGTACCAAACATATGTGCATTTTATCCTTACTCCTGCCAATGACCTAATGTGGGTTAGGGAGAGAGCCAAAGAGGCCTAGGTCAATTATGAATACTTGGAAAAATGCATATTCTAAAGCTAACTGATGTAATTTGCATCAGCAAATAATAATTTCATTTCTATATAATAAAAATAGATGATAACAATATTTCTAATAATAATAATAGTTCTATATAGGTAGGGTGACTTTTTCCCTCTTATTCATAATTCATAATTATGGGTGTAATTAGAGATATGGTAGGCAGCATGTTTACTTCTTTTGTTTTCACATTAAAATAAAGATCCACCCAGGGAATGCACAAAAGCAAGAAACACAAAGCAGACAGAGGAATTAGTAATGAAAATCAAGCCCCTCAGCCATCCTGTCCAACAACAGTCCTTCTCGGAGGTTGTTGCTTTGAACTACTTCAGTTTTCAATTATGTCAGTGGCCACTTGATAATTTCAGGTAGTATGGATATACCATTGTTTTTAAATTTATCTTGTTTTGCTCTTTGCTGTTTTGAGATTTCAATTCTGTGTCCAAGTGGTTCCCTTTATATGCAGCGTACTCCATGAGCCCATACAAATAGAAGACTCACTTTCTTCAAGTCTGAGAATATTTGATTATTATTTCTCTGATAATCTCTCACTCTTCATTTTCTCTATTCTCCCTTTCAGGAAATCCCACTGGATCATTCCTCCTCATGTCTTCCCTCCCTCCATCCTGCTCCCTTTCTTTCCGTTGCTTAGAGAAGATTTTGTTTTTCTTCCTGGAAGGTAAACACTGGCTTACCTACCTCTCTGTGAACAGGGTAACTGGTCCAACGTTTCTTTTGCCAGGTGTTCAACTAATTCCTGGTTTTTGGTTTTGTGCCTCACACCTCTCCTCCTCCTTGATGACATTTGTAGGTTTCTTCTGCAAAGTCTGTTTCCCACCTCCACTGTAGATTTATCCTGCACACACTGGACTGTAGCTGTCTCTGCTCTGTTTGTCATCAGTTGTGCCTCTGGGCCTTCTCTCTTTCAGAATGTATTTATGAATTTATCTCCTGTGGATTTCTTTACCTTCACTAAGTTTTTAGTCTATTAGTTAGAGTGGGTCATATTATGATGCAGTAACAAACAAACCCTGATATCTCAGTGGTTTCATTCAATCAAGGTGTATTTCTGCCTCACACAAAGTCCAGTTTGATGCTTCTGTTTGGGCAGCTCTTCTGGTCAGTTCTCCTCAAAACTGTGAGTCCTTCACTTCTTTTTTTTTTTCCTGCTTTGCTACTATGCTATTAAGTATATATATCATATTTTACTAAAGCATCGCCTGATCATTGTGTCTTTAGATCATTCCAATGTTTTGTTTTTATAAGCATTGCTGCTACAAACTTTTAAAAACATATTTTAAATTTTTCTTCACTTAGAATTTCTCCTTAGACATGGAATTACTGAATAAAGAGTCTAAAAAAAATTTAATGTCTACCAAATTGCTCTCCAGAAGGCTTTTTCAATCTATTCTCCCACAACATTATTATTGTTATTTTCTAATTTAATTTTGCACTTGAAGAATCTTTATTTTATTGAAGCTTTAATTATGCATGGGAGAGAAGATTTCCTCCCTTTTGTAACAAATTACATTTCATCATTTTATATTGTTTGTTCATGTAACTTTAACATTTTTTCTATTGGAAATTATAAATTTTTAAAATGAACTCTTCATATATTAAGCCTAGTAACCCTTTGGATAACTCATTTTATCACATGCTTGAGGCTTGTATAAAAACACGCAAACTTGGTTTCAATTTACCAAGAACTGCTGGCTACTTTATCTTTTCTCCTTTGCTGTTTTTCCGTAATGGAGGAATGAGCTATAAACCCACTTTCGAGGACTTACAGTTTCTCTTTTTTCTTCAAGAGGTTATGGACAAAGTTTTCCTAGAAAGTTTGTTTATCAATTTTGCTTAGAGGAGTGAGTGTAGAGTATAGTTTATTGGGAGAAGGTAAAGCAACGTTTTAGGACTGAGAGACAATGGTGGAATGGGGCCTAGGAGAGTAGCTGGCAGAGAAGAAAAGGCAAATCTTTTTAGATATTTGGAAATGAAATGGCTGGGTGTCACAGTAGAGACAGAGGGGTATGATGGGGTCAAATCTCGAGATTGGGAAAATAGTTAAATGAGACTATGACATATAAAATAGTTAAATAACAATGAGACTATATTGCAGAGAAATGTCTGTCACAATCAGAGCTTCAGCTAAAACCACACAGGGGACTTAATGATTGTTAAAAGCATTAAGGAAAGGTGAAACTTTATCAGTTTTTTACACTTCAATCTGAATGTATTAATGACTTGTTCTGATTCTTTCCTGAGAATGCCCTTTGGTAAGAGGAGGGAGAAAACCTGCAGCACTGGGGTGCGACTTGGAGACAACAATGAGAAGGAAAAGGCAGAGAGAGAGGTGGAGGATCCAAAGGCACATTTTCTCCATTTGGTTGAGTGTGATGCATTCTGGACAATGACTTGGGCGCCACCAGAAAAGGGGAGAATGTAAAGGGCAGGCAATATATGGAGGCTATTCCCTGAGGAAGTGCTGGAGAGCATGCCCTGGCTTGAGAGAACTAATTTCTGAGATAGGTAGGATGCAGAAAACCATGGCAAATGCAAAGGCTGCCCAAGGAGCCATGTGGGTGGATGTCTTCCATTTTAGCAGTGAAAGCTGCAGGGATATAGTTACAGCGGGATCATCGGGGATGCCTCTGCTTCTGATTCTCTGTGTGTCAAAACTTACCAACTCTGCAAAAAAGATCCCAAACAAAAAGATACAGTTGATTTATTCTGTCTAGGTTCAGAGTAGAAGTTTATATAATATATTGGTCAATGATACTGAAAGAGCCAAAAATATGACAGCAGAGATTAAATGTCAAGCCAGATTTATCTTGTGTGACCATTTCTGGATGATGTAAAATAGCACACTATCTTTAGTTTGGAAGCATATTAATTTATCTGGACTTTTTTTTACTTGAGGGGTAAACTCATGTTGAGGATTTCATTAAAAATGGGTAATTCAATCTAACAACTAGACCTTATGTGGGGTGATTCTTTTTTACTTTAAGGTGGGAGAGCAAAGAGTGTTTTTCAAAAACTAATTTCCTAATTTTCAATTTCTAGAGATCTTTTAAAGCCATCAGAACTATTGCTGCCTAAGACATGCATGGCAAATAAAAGTATCTCACTGGATTTCAAATAAGGGGAATAATCAATGTTAAGTGCTGCCTTGTTGGATTTCTTCCTGATTTTTTTGAAGCTCCAGTAAGTTTTATAATTTCTCTTTTATGCACTGAATTGTGGGTATACTCTAGAATGTATCTCATCATGAAGCAGATATAATACTAGCTGATACATATTAAAATGGTTAGCAAACATTGCTTTTAAACGATTGTGACTCACACCAAAATTTGTATTTAGTAACCTAAATACTGTTAGGAGCAAGCCCCCCCAAATCCGGCCATAAACTGGCCTGAAAACTGGCCATAAACAAAATCTCTTCATGTCCATAATGGCCCTAACGCCCAAGATGGAAGGTTGTGGGTTTACAGGAATGAGGGCAAGGAACACCTGGCCCGCCCAGGGTGGAAAACCGCTTAAAGACATTCTTAAGCCACAAACAATATCATGAGTGATCTGTGTCTTAAGGGCATGTTCCTGCGGCAGTTAACTAGCCCAACCTATTCATTTAATTCAGCCCGTCCCTTTGTTTCCCATAAGGGATACTTTCAGTTAATTTTATCTATAGAAACAATGTTAATGACTGGTTTGCTGTTAATAAATATGTGAGTAAATCTCTGTTTGGGGCTCTCAGCTCTGAAGGCTGTGAGACCCCTGATTTCCCACTTCACACCTCTATATTTCTGTGTGTGTGTCTTTAATTCCTCTAGCGCTGCTGGGTTAGGGTCTCCCCGAATACACTTATAAAACAGATGATATCCTGTTGTCCTAATTTCAGCTGATGCTCTAAAGCTGAATACAAAGCAATAACTACCTCCTACATTCCAGAGGTGGGTGGATTAGTGACCTTCTTGCTGGATTTATAAGAGGATAGCAGAGCCAGTCATAAAACGATCAACCCTGTCTCTCACCTTCAAGCCACCCAAAATAAGGTTAGACTTTTGAAAGATGGGTTGGAGAAAGCCATCAAGGTAAACAGTTAAAGGTAAAAGGGTTGTGTCAGCCCAGAAGTAGTGGCTGTGTGTGTGCGTGTGTGTGTGTGTATGTGTGTGCATGTGCACACATATACATGGCCAGGGAGGTGGGCAGTAGCAGCACATCAAGAGAACTGCTCATAGAGATTTGGCATATTCTTAAAAAAAGAGAGAGAATCTCATTTCCTTTCCCACCTGGCTGTTTGCTGAGCCATAGAAGTTTGTTAGCTCACTCCAGGCACTGGAGTGGAGCTCATAGAGATTTTCTGGAAGTTGCCTGGTTCTGGCAAAGGGGTGGCAGCTGCAGGGCCTGTATTCCCACTGGGAAGAATGGCAAGGATGTGAATTGTCCATAGGTCAGCTAGACATTGAGGAGTGAACCCAGGCTGGAGTCATCATTATGGACTGTTAAATTAAGTCTAGCCAAAAGTTGCCTCCTTACATATTTTAAGTTCAGCCTAAAGGTTTCTCTGTACATAGTGAACTGTAACCTAACTGGATGTGTAAACAGACCATAACCTACTCTTGGGCCAATCACTGAGGTTTTGCCAATCAAAGGTGGCCAACTGTTCAAACCATGTTTAAATAAGGCAAACATGGAGCTGAAACCAATCCAGCTTTCTCTACTTCCCTTCCATTTTTGTACATCACTTGCCTTTGTCTGTTTATAAATCTTCTTTATACATGTGGCAGCACTGGAGTCTCTCTGAACCTCTTCTGGTTCAGGGGCTTTCTGATTCACAAGTTGTTCTTTTCTCATCTAAACTCCAAATTTAGCTAGGTGTGGTGGCTCACACCTGTAATCCCAGCACTTGGGGAGGCCAAGGTGGGCAGATCACTTGAGGTCAGGAGTTCTAGACCAGCTTGGCCAACATGGTGAAACCCCGTCTCTACTAAAAATACAAAAATTAGCAGGGTGTGGTGGTTCATGCCTGTAATCCCAGCTGCCTGGGGGGCTGAGGCACGAGAATCCCTTGAACCCGGGAGGCAGAGGTTGCAGTGAGGCAAGATTGCAACACTGCACTCCAGCCTGGGTGACAGAGTGAAACTGTGTCTCAAAACAAAACAAAACAAAACCCTCCAAATTTAATTTGTCTAAAGGTTTTCTTTTGACATGCCCAAGAGGGCAAACTTCAGGCCTGAGGTCCAGAAGCCCCTTAAAAAAGAGTTTAAATCTCATCGACAGCTGATGTTCACACCTATCCTGATGTGTCTGAATATCGCTATAACAGACGCTTACCCCATGGGAACCTGGTTTGAGGGAGATTAGAAACAGGGTCTGTGGGAGAAAGTTACCCTCAGTGAACAAGGAGTTGGAAAGGATGGGGAAGACCAAGCCTGTGACCCAATGTCAGGATGGCACAGGGGATCCAAGACGGATAACCGTGCCTTCCTGCCCATATCCATGTGTTCTGTGTAAGAGGATTGTGTATGAGGAAAATGCAAAATAATGCCACAAGAGCCCCCAACTCCACTGTTGTGAGTGCCCTTGACTCTTCTGAACAAAAGGGACATTAAGAAAGAAGCTGCTGCCCTGAGATGTTAGCAGGAGAGAGGCAGTAGTGGCCACTACAAAATGGAGGCCAATGCCTGAGGCTGGCAGTGCAGAGAGGGCGGAGGCCTAGGGTTCCTTGTAGCCAAGAGCAGGTCAGTATAGGATATAGTGGCCTCAGTAATCCCACAGCAATGGCACTGGAACCCAGGAACACCAGAACTGTGTGATGGAGAAAGCAGTTAGAGAGCAGGACCGGGCTGGTCAGATGATGGCTCCACTCTGAACATAGTAGCATCACCACTGTGTCTGCTGTCTTGGAGCCTCTCAGACACCTTTGGACTGGGAGCTTGAAGGTAATTCCTATCTAGTAGATGAGGACCACTCATTCAGCCCACCTAGCCATACAGTGTCAAAGTGCTCTTCTATGATTCTCAAGCTGCATGGGACCTTGGGAACCCCTGGGTTACACTACAGACTCAAGTGTGACTCACCCACCCCCAAGGAGGGTATTTCTTTAGAAAGCCTCTGTGATACTCATTAGAGAGCACTGTAGGATCTTGATAAGGAGGACAAGTGTGGCAACTTTCAACATTTAGTGGACTTTAAAATAGTTTTGCCCAGACTATAATCTAAGACTAAAAACCCTAATCTTCATGAAGAAGTTAATATTGAATAAGTCTCTGGTTGAGTAAAAGAAGGAAAAGAAGTGTACCCCAAATGCTTTGAGGTGTTGCTCTACTTGCTTCTCTTCTGGAGGACAATGACCCACAAGTGAGATTCCTTGTAGGAGCCTTGAAATGGTACAACAGCTGATTTTACTGGAAAGAAGGGGTGCCAGTGCATATCAGACACCTCTTCCTGTCCATCAGATAGATTTCCTAGATGGCTGCAGGGTCAATGTGCAGTCTGCGATAAATGCACTCACATATTGTAACCCAAAGAGAAACATGAAATGATTCCTTTGTCCAAGAGAATTTCAGAGGTTGAAAACTCCATGACCCTTTAACCTCCCAATGCCTTTCCTCTGTGCACTCTCTTTCCTCTTGCCTTGTTTTGTTGAGGGATTTTCTTTTGTCTTCTGATTCTGCTTCATTTGGCCAGCTCTCTGTGGGTCTTTGGCACCTGGGAAGGTCTGAATGTGGCCTTTGTGTTTGCTGAACAGCACTGTGCCCAGCCAGGCAGAGATGATCACTAAGTTTTCTATAGCTTCATAACTGCAAATTGCTCAGCCATTTGTTGTTTAATCCTCACAAGCCCTTTGTCCTGGAGGCAGTGCGGCATTATCATCACCCTTCATTTTCCAGTTGAGAAGGCGGACGATATGTGACTTGCTCAAGGACATAGGTTGAGTTGAGAATCTGTCTGCTTGGACCACTTGAAAGTGAACACAATAGCAGTGAAGCCCAACTGGGAAGAGTGGGTTAAACTGGGGTAGGCTGAAGTTTGCATCCTTTTGAATAAATTGTGACACCCTAAATTAAAGGTGTGAAAGAATTACTGGTTGAAGACCTCTAGTGGGGAATTGTGCCACAAAGAGAGCTTGTAAACTCAGATTATTTCTGGGTGGTAGCACTTCTAGAGATATAATTTTGAGGTTAGTGTCATATAGGTTCCTTGATTACTTTAGGTGATCTATCCAGGCAATAATGAGTCAATAAAAGTCTCTGTTCAGCAGCACACAGCTTGTACTCCCATCCTGCCTATTGCGAAGGCTTTGTCCCTTCCCCCGGACCATGTCATTTCCCCTACCTTTTGAAGGTATCTTTGTTTTCTGCTTCATTGAGAAAATCTAACTCATCAGGCTTTTAGCTTCCTCATTCTTCTCCTTTTCATATTGTCGAAGCTGTCCTTTTATTAATCCTACCTCCTCTCCGGTTTTTAAGAAAAAGTGGATCTGTCCTTTTGTCTGGGGGCAATCTTACCTTCCTCCCCTTGGTTACCTTTGATTTACCTTCTCAATGATTTCCGTCACTCTCCCCAGTCCCCTCTTCCTCTCTGGCATTTAATACCTCTTGTATTGACTCCAATCCCTACATGTATGCATTCATGATGCTCCTTTAGGTGATTCTAATACTCTTTCCAGCTGCCTGAATATTTTCCTCTTTCCTCCTCTTGTAAACCTTTTGAACCAGAAGACTCCACTTTTTATCTCCACTTCTTACCTCCCACCTTCAACCTCTTGTGGTCTTGCTCTGACATCACATGCTGTGGTTGCTGCACTCACTCTTCTGTGCGTTTGGTCTCCAGTGACCTGTGATTGACCATACACAGGTTTTTTTTTTTCTTGCCTTCACATACGATTATTGTATGCAACGTTTGCCATTGTAGATTATCCCTTGCTGTTGGAATCTTTTTCTCATTGAGTCCCATAATGCAGCCTGTCCTTGTCCCTTTCTGTGTTGGACTGTTCCCTGTGTCCTTCATAAGCCCCTTCAACCATATCCAGAGGTGCTTTCTTATCTTATGTCCCTCAGATAATTCACTTAGGGCTTTCTCTAGTGATCCACTATTATGACAACATGACACCTAAGTCTCTACTTCTACCTTGAAATACCCTGCTGTGCTCCAACTCCTAATTTCAGACTTGTCACTGGACGTTTCCAAATTGATGACATGACAGCAGCCGAGGCAAAATGTATATAAAATGGAATTCATCATCTGCCCTCTAAAACCTGCTTCTTCCTCCTGAGTTCCCATTTCTGTTAATTATGTCACCAAGGGCTAAATCTTAGGGCCATATTTAATCCCTTTCTCTCCTTGTCTCCTATCATCCAATTAAGTCCTGTCACTTCCTCCATCACAGTGTGCCTTGGATGTGTCCTTTGCCCTCACACTGTCATGGTCCTGGTGCACTGCCTCTGACCTTGGCCTTCCTCGTCTCTATCACTTGCCACCTGGCCTCTCTCTCCAGGCTCTCCTCTACAATCCATGCAGCACATTCTCTAGAAACATTTCCTTGCACTTCCAGTTGCAGAGTGACAGTTATTTTGTTCACATTCTTTCCTGGCTCAGAAATTAGCAGTAGTTTCTTATTACTTCTGAAATCAGCTTCAAATGTAGCTGCTTTCAGACTCTCTGCCTCTGGGCCTTGCTGCACATTTCTAGCCTGTTCTTCCCCTTAATGTCACACAACATTCTGCTTCACTCAAACTTAAAATCTCTGAAATGCTCCTTGTTGTTTTTCACATCTTGGTTTTGGTTTATGGCATTTCCTCTTTCTCTGATGCACTTTCTCTGTTCTCCATCCCCAATGCTTCAAAACTGCCTATTCTTCATGACCCAGTCCAAATACTACTAAATTCAAGGGGTCAATTCAGGTGAGAGGAAGGAAGGAAGGAAGGAAGGAGATCCCTACAATGTCCTGACAGCTATGCACTGACACTCTTAGCCATCCATGTACTGTGTATCTCTCCACTGCTCTTGTAAGCAGTGCTTCTCAATCTCAGCTGTACAGTAGAATCACCTGGGAGCTTCTAAAAATTACCAAAGCTCAGGCTCCATCCCAGACCAGTGAAATCAGAATCACTGGGGCCATGACCCAGTGACTGATATTTTTAAGGCTCATTGCATGACTCCTCTGTGCAGCCAAGGATTAATGTCTACTACTATGTGAATTTTTGTAGATTATTTTTAGTGGCTCTGCATGTTTTTCCTGTTTCCAACTTTGGTTCTTGTGGGATTCTTTGTTTTTTAGCCTCTGTGATGTCTAGCACTGTTGTTTGTTTGTTTTGAGACGGAGTCTTGCTCTGTCGCCCAGGCTGGAGTGCAGTGGTGGGATCTCAGCTTACTGCAACCTCCACCTCCCTGGTTCAAGCAATTCCCCTGCCTGAGGCTCCTGAGTAGCTGGGATTACAGGTGCACACTACCAAACCTGGCTAATTTTTTTTGTATTTTTAGTAGAGATGGGGTTTCACCATGTTGGCCAGACTGGTCTTGAACTCCTGGTCTCAGGCAATCTGCCTGCCTCTGCCTCCCAAAGTGCTGAGATTACAGACATGAGCCACCGCTCCTGGCCAGCAGTGTTTTTTATACTCAGTGGAACTTCAAAGAAAAAAAGTGTTAAGATTTAAGAATGGAAAACAAATAAAAAGAGTTGAGTTTTAGGGAAGGAATGCCAACTGGCTCAGTGGCTATCCCACACTGGAAATGTTGAGTTAAGAGTCTCTTGTATGTTAAATAACTGACTTCAAGTATTTGGTGTAAACTCTTTGTATCCAAGCAGTTAATATGCCAATTGAGTATTTATTAACATTTGTCTCATGAAACCTTACTTGCCCATGTAATAATGTTAGTTTGGTGCAAAAGTAATTGTGGTTTTTGCCTTTAAAAGTAATTGTATGTAGCAATTAATATAATGCTACATACAACTCAAATACCTTAGATGAGTACCTGTTCTATCTTTTGGGTTGTTCTCAAGATTAAACACATAAAACTTCTGGGAAAAAACAAAAACTTTAAAAACCGTGGTTAGATATTATTTTTAATGAAGCTGTATTTTGTATATAAATATATTTTTAAAGAAATGAATCTTAAAGAACTCCTGTTCAATGCATTCTGCCTTTCAGGAACACCATCGAATACCTTAAGTCAAAAGGAAAACTTGTATTGTGGTGGGCATATCTACTTCTCTCCCTGTGCTATATTTCTGATAACAATTTGTGGATGTTGCAGAGTTTATTTTAGTCTAGGGGATGGGAATGAATTTAAAATCATTGCTACCTCAGGTGAGGCAGCCCCTTTCAGAAAAAAATAGGAAGTAAAGAAGGAAGACTGCTCAGAAAATTCTCTTTTCAACTTAGAAAAAGCACAGAATACCTCTTGGAGAGTGATTTAACAACCTGAACTCTGTAGCTGTATAGATTCGTGTTCAAAATCTGGCTCAGTTTACCAGCTATGTTGATCTTGGACAAAGTGCTTGGCCTCTCTGTGCTTTGGTGTCCTCAGCTGTGCATAGAGAGTAACATTTAGGTCTCGGTGTTGGGAGGATTGAGCCGTATGATATATGGAAGGTAGCTGACACTTAGTAGGACCTCACAGAGGTTCCCTTTTCCTTAAGGCACCGTGGATATCAATGAGTCTTGTTTTTGTTGTGACCTTAGCAGGCTTCCTCTTAGTGTTTTTCAGGGCGTGCACTTTACTGGTATGTTTGTAAACAGAAATATACAATTTTGCTTTGGGTCTGAGAGGTTTTCATTATTTTTTGAACCACATAATGATTTTCTTTCTTTCCTCTTCTGCAAATTCATTGAATGTTGGAATTCCTTTGCAGTACCTTTGCCATAAATTCTACTCACTACATATAATTTAAATCAAGCAGGTATAACATAATTGCCCTCATAAGGAGAGTGTAGGATGGTATACAAACTTTGCTTCCAAGGAATTCACATTGCCATTTGAAAAAATTTCGAAACTGATTTTCCCAGTTGCAGAAGTTTCTGGAAACTTGGATTGAAGAGTCTACATACTTTTGTGGGATTCTAGTTAATGTATTGCCTTGAACATAGATTCCTTGAACGAGTGACAGTAGTCTCTTATAAATCACAGAAAAGTTCACCCTCATTCTAGTTACAAGTCCTATGCCATGAATCAAATCTTAGCAAAGACCAGCTTAGAAATCTTGAAAAAGGCCTGACATTTTGTTAAAATGACAGGCAAATAGATTTCTCCTGCCCTCCCTCCTCACATTTCCTTTCCCTGTTCAACAACAGTACAATTTGTGTAGTGGTATTTTCAGTCTTACTTCTTTTTCTATACTGAAAGTAATTTTTAAAGCATGAAACTGGGTACTTTGTTGCCCCCATACAGAAAGACTTTACAAGTTTAGCTGGAATAGAGCTGAAGAGCACATAAAGTTGATGTCAAGGCCTACTTACACTGAAGTAAAATTAGATTTATGGATTGAAATGGGAAGCCTAATTTTTATGTGCCTCCTTCCTAAAAGTCAGCCATTATCTAGAGGGAAAACTATCTGAACCAATCTGAGTGAACCCAACCCATTTCATCTTCTAAGACTGGTTTGTTCATTACTTAGGAGTTAAAGGCAGAGACTAGCTCATGGGGATTAAGAATGACAGAGTGACCCTCTGACACTAAGTTATAAATATATTAGCATATTTTAGTACCTTGCCCAGACAGCCTGAGTCTTTCAAAAAAATTATTTTTTAAAGAATGATAAGATACATTTTTCCTCCACCCTAATTTAAATTTTCTGAATTTCTAGTCACTGTTCACTATTTCCAATTCCTGGGTAACTCATCAATTTTTTTTATTTTTGTTTCTTTCCTAGCTTCTTCTGTTTCAGAGCTATGTTTCCCCAGTGGGCTACCACATCTCTGGGTTTCCAGTACTTGGAACTTTGCTTCCCAGTTGCAGAGCTAAGAAGCCAGTTCACATTCCATCGTTGTCCTAAAGTCTTTTTCCTATTTTGAATACCCCATCTTGTCTGGATTTATCAAGGGGTAAGAAATATGTATTACTTTGACCTGAAAAATTCCTTGCTGAGTCCCACTCCATTAGAAAACAATAATATTTAAAAGAAATCAGCCAATCACAATTCCTAGGCCTGAACAGTTCACAGGATTTCAGAGGGAGTCTTTGTGTGATTGTTTCTCTTCACATAGTGACTGAAACAATTCAGGCTTAAAACACTCCGATCATTAGTTGGTATTACAGATGGTAGGATGAGCAATTATGCTGAATTGAATTTTTCCCATCTTAGCTATTTTAGGTTAAAGAGTCAGTGTAGAGCATGAGCTCTTAGGTGAGGTTTTCCAGCGTTCCAAGATTTTCCAACCCAGATGAAGTTACTGTCTAAGCTCCTGGCAAATGTTGAAGTTTTCCCTGTAATCCTGATAGGTTTCACCACAATTCTGATACATATTACTCGGTTTAATTATGTGCCATAGTCATAGAATTTTGGAAGTAGAAAGAAGCTTAAGGGTATCTAGTTAAATGCCATTCTCCATATTCTACAGATAAAAACATGGAGTTCGAATGGGATCTCAGAGAAATCTCAGAGAAAAATGAACTGGGGTATTTTTTAGTTTAACTTTCTTCCCAAGGAACTAATCCTTATCTCGGTATTTTCTAAATTAGACCAGCCACATTTTTCTTGCCTTGACATTCTCATTTCCCTTTGGACAGAGTAGGTTAGTCAAAATTTAGTGAAATGATAGATAATGATGTTGGTATTTAATTCAGATTCTTTTTTTTTGAGACAGAGTCTTGCTCTGTCTCCCAGGCCGGAGTGCAGTGGCGGGATCTCGGCTCATTGCAAGCTCAGCCTCCCGGGTTCATGCCATTCTCCTGCCTCAGCCTCCCGAGTAGCTGGGACTACAAATGCTCGCCACCACACCCAGCTAATTTTTTGTATTTTTAGTAGAGACGGGGTTTCACTGTGTTAGCCAGGATGATCTCGATCTTCTGACATTGTGATCTGCCCGCCTCGGCCTCCCAAAGTGCTGGGATTAGAATGTTTTCAAAGGATGTCTAACAAAAACCAAGAAGTCCAGTGACTGCTGGTGCTATTGGGACTGGGACATAGGAACCCTGCCCAATTCATGAGAGCCTCTCAGTGGCTGCTAGGAGACAGCTCTGGGAAATATATTTCTCAAGAGAATTTGGTAGACTGGAGATGTGCTATCTTGAACTGTGATCCTTTGGGACATTTCCATCTCCCATATAAATTTATAACAAAGTTATCTGTCTATGGGCAGAAAGGAGGTGATCAGAAAAGATCAGAGGAGAATATGGAATAGCTCTGTGGTCAGTTATTCCAAAGCTAGGTTACAGGTGGGTGAAGTAGTAGATGGCATGATTTGGGTACATGGGCAGGATGAAGATGAACTTGCCTGGAATTATGTATTCCATGGGCCTGCACAAATACCTCCATCCCCTTTTAGAGATGTAGAAATCACCTGCTAAGATTCACCTACTTTCCTGGATACACAGAACTGTATGGGGGAAGGAGCTTGGGTTTTCATGCCAGGCAAGTTTCATCCTAATGCCAGTCCTATCAACTACTCAATCTTAGAGGCAGGAAGAGAGTCACTAGCACTCTCTTTTCCTTGAAAAATGAAAAGATAAAAAACATATGGCTGTTGCCATGGATTTGTCCCTGTGCAATGCTGTAACAATCTCCTTATTGAAGCTTTTATTCACATTCCTAGCTGCAAAGGCAATGTATGTAAGCTCTGTGAAGGCAAGATCATGTCTATTGGGTCCACAGATGTATCTCCAGGGCCTGGCACAGTGCATACTCGACAAATATTTGTGGATAAAGAGGGAGGAGGTTGGAATAGTCAGAATCATAGAGGTACAAAGTTGAATAGTGGTTACCAGGGGCTGGAGGAGGTGGTAATGGGGAATTATTGATTAACAAATCCAGAACTTCAGTTTCGGATGAGGAAAAATTCTGGAGATGGACAGGGGTGATAGTTCCACAACAATGTGAATGTAGGGAACTTAAAGACACTGAACTGCACACATGGAAATGGTTAAAATGATAAATTTTATGTCATGTATATTTTAAACCCCCCACCCCCAGACAAGATGGATGTATCTCTGTGGAAATAACATTTCCTGGCTCAGTAAGATTTCATTATTTTCTTACTTGCAGCTTGTGTAAACAAACCAAAACATTTTGTTATCAATGACTCTAGCACATGTTTTCATAAGATTATGTATTTTCTACATTAGTGGACTCACTTTAGCCATACTTTCTTCTGAGAGGTAGGCAAGGGCAAGGTGGGTATTAACTGTCTCTAAAGCATGGGGCTTGTTCACATAACAAGTTAAGAGCATTATTTGACTTAGAAATGGGATTAGCTCCCTAGGACTTTTGGAGAATGTACATGATTTTACACAATTAGCAGGAAGAGGTAACGTGAAGGTCTTGGATGAGAAGTGCCATGATGTTCTGGAGTAAGGATTTCAATTTGGTGGTAAAGAGAGCACTTGCCTGTTCAGTGTTAATCTAAAGTTGACTGAGCAGAGCATCTTTTTTAGGATGTTTTCTCAAGGGAAATGAGACTGGTTCTTATCTCTGTTGGCCTGAGGAGGCTTCTACTCTTTTCTACGACCTCTGTTCCTTCTTTCTGTAGTTCTTGAGGCCACTCTTTTCTACAACCTCTGTTCCTTCTTTCCGTAGTTCTTCAGGGCATTCCCTGTGGTCCCGGAGGCAGCAGACAATGTTTAAGTTCTATTTAATGGCTGTTACTTTTCTGCTTTCCTATTTATGTCAGAGATGATTATGATTCAGAGAATCTCCATGTTCCCTCACATTTCCTAGCCTTTTGTAGGTAGGCAGGGCTCTGTGGTAACTGGCCAATGGGCAGAGCAGAAGCAATACTTGTCACTTTGAGGCTCAAGCATTTAAAGTCCATGTGAAGCCCTCCTGCTCCTTCCACTGCTGTAGTGATTTGGAAAGTGTTGAGATGTGAAACATCTGTCAGTGTTGGTCCCTGAGTCACCGTGTGGAGCAGATCCTCCCTCCCCTCTCCTTTGCCCTCTCCCACTGTGCAAGCTTGAGTGAGAAACATATCCTTGGTATGTTAAAATTCTGAACTCTCAGGGTCAATTTATTAATGCCTATCTAACTCACCCCCTGTTAGACTCACTCCCTATTTTCCTTGAGAGCAGGAGTTATATGCATGTGCTTCTAAAAATCTTTGTATCCTGGGTACCTCACACGGTGTTTTGCATGTGGTAGATGCTGAGTACATGCTTACTGAATGAATAAATGCATGAAAAGATAACTGAATGCATTCATAATTCACCATGCTAGGTATTCACATTGAATACAACATGAGCTGTCTTATCTACTTCTGGGTGTTGATAGTCCCCTAGAGTCCTTAGAGTCTCCTTTGTCTGCAACCTCCCTTCTTAGACTTGTTCTCATCTGTGAGGGTACAGAATGCTGACTGACCCACATGGCATGCTGGGAAAGAAAGGCGTAGAAAACACTTGACATTGTATTTTGCTACCACCCCTCCCTGCTCAGCCTATCCGTCTGAGCCTCAGCTATCTTCATTTTTATAATTCTGCCCCTGAACTGGGATTGAGACAAACCTTTTGCTTCTATTTGACATTTTCCTCTGCTTTAAAAAATGGAGAACAAATAATTATAATTTTGACAGCTGGCCTCTTATACTGTGCCATGCACTGTAATAAGTGCTTTACTTGAATTATTTTATTTAATTTTCATGACACTCAGTGAGATAACTACTATTAGAACCCTAGTTTAGAGGGGAGGAAACCGAGGTCCCTAAGCTGGACTTGCCCTAGGTCTCATGGCAAGGGGAGCAGAATAGCAGAGCTGGAATCTCTGTCATGGGCTCTCTGGGGTCAAGGCTTATATTCCTAAACATTAAACTGTTCTCCGATGCCATGTCCTTCTTTGCAACTTTTCCAGAGCTTCTCTGCTGCAGGAGTTAGTCTCTGGACTCCACACCTCCAACAACCTGGCCCCCAGGCACTTCACTGCCACATGGCTCACAGCCCCACATCTTTGGCTTCTTTATTAAAGTGATTCTTCCACACTGTTCTTGCTGGACACTGTGCTAACTGCCTGGCCAGCTGATCTGTCCCCGAGTCTTCAGATTGGGCAGTCCCCCTACCTGGTGCTCTGTGAAATCTTTTTCTCCTCTGGTTGGATTCCCTTAGATGTCTCAATTATTTCTAGGCATTAGCCATTGAGAGGATCATGCTTCAAGGCAGATTTTCTGGCCTCCTCCTCACCTGTGTGCACTGAGCTCTTAGGTCTCCCTCATTCATTTAATGGACAGCCATCAGATCACATTGCTTGGCTTGTGTCTAAAGTGATATTGTTCTCATTGCTAGAGGATTTCATGTAGTAGTCTTTGAATATTCTTAAGACTTGGACAACTCCTCCACAGACATGCATATAATGGTTGCTGAGGATACCTCCTGCTGCTTCTAAGATGTTAGAGTCAAGAGAAACCCAAAGTGAAGCTTTTGTTTATTATTTTCTGAACACTCTACATCAATTTATTCTTACTTTTTTATATTGAGGTATAACAGTAAGTGGACATGTCTTCAGGCACAGTTTTCAGTAAGATCTAGTTTAGGAAGTTGAGTTTTTAGAAGTGAATTCCCTTAAAATCTCCCTGAATCCATGGTCCCCATGGTAAGTCTTCATGATCTCAAAAGAAAAATCCTATTTCCCTTCTGACTTCATACAACATTTATTAGATGACTTTTCTGTTTTTGTTTTTTTTAAATATATGCTCATTGTAGAAAATGCAGAGAAGTTCTGTAGAGCTCTTTGTCCAAGTCTGGTGGGTTCTTTCTGAAATTTTAAATTAAGGTCTCTGTACATAAATCTCTATTCTTCATTTAAATCAGCTGACATTAAACTGACTTTAAAGTCAGACTACTAAATCTTGGATTCAAGGCAGCATCTGAGGCCCCTCTTTGGGTTGAATTATGCATTGTAAGCTGTTCAGAAGAACGTCAAAAGTGCAAGCCTGAGGAGACAGGGAGGTCCCCAAAGGAGTGTGATTCTGCTGCCCCAGATAGCTCTCACCCTGAGCAGCACCATCTCCAGAAATAACATGTGTGGGCGAAAGCAATCAACAGAACTCAGATCTGGAATTCCAGACAGCCACAAACATATCAACCTAAATGTAAAGTGGCACTGCTAACAGTCCATCTATAATTACCTCTCATTTTATTAGTTGCAAAGGGTAATTGTATCCAGAAAGTTCTTAATGCAAATATATGCTACAGAGAATGTATATGTTGCTCTGAGAAAAAAATGTGGTAGAGAAGTTTCAATAATGCTAAGTGATTTTCTAGCACTCATCACTGATTAAGCGCCATCTGGGCTGTAGGAAAACAGGGGAAGGGGAGTTGTCAGAAGTCAGGATGTCTGAATTCTCTCTGGCCTCTCAAATCTTTTAATCTCTCAACTCTTTGCCCTTAAGTGTCTTGAGGGAGGGGAATTGCTTTGGAAAACACCAGGCAAGCAGTTATATTCTTGGGACTGGATGCTCAGGCAGCTGGTTTTGGTAGAGCTGAGGTTTAGGCCAATCCTGATGCATGCGCCATTGGCAAATAATAATCATAACATGCCCTTTCAAGACAGCCTACGCAGCTCTGAAGGGATGTTGAATGCCATGCCTTTCTTCATCTAAGCTACATGAGTACAGATCTAAAGATTAATATAATTGTTTTAAGCACTGGCTTTTAGGAGCTAAGAGATGTTAGAGATCAAACTCCGTATCTGTGAATGT